TATTATTATTATTATTATTATTATTATTATTATTATTATTATTATTATTATTATTATTATTATTATTGTTATTGTTATTGTTATTATTATTATTATTATTATTTACTATTGTTAATTATTGATTACTAAAAAAAAAAAACTTTAATTAGATCATTTTATATCATATCATTTAACTTCTAATTGATCCTAGCAATTTATTCATATTTCTTCTTTTGATAAATATAATAGCTATTGTGCTTGAACCCTTACGAGATGATCCTAACTATGATGATATTATATTAATTATAGAAACTAAAGATTTAATAGATCAGGATTATACTACTCTTAAATTAGAATGTTATTACTTAAAAACTGCTCAGCATCTTATACCAACTACTACTTTTGCAAAAAAAGGATCTATTCTTTTCATAAATGGTGAACTCTTAATTAATAAAGAAGCATTTATTGTTTATCTTCATGAGGTAAACTTCTTTGAATATCAAAAACCCATTAATATGAAAAATTTAACTAATCTTCTGTGGCTAACTAGCTTAAATAAATCTCTATCAAATGAATCAAATATAGAAAAAGATACAAGAACGATTGCTTTACAAGTCAAAAAGAGTAAACGAAGAAAAATATTATCTACTACAAGATTTTATTTTAATTTAAAAGATTGTCTAAAGGTGGTTGATCTGCTAAAAAGATGTTAACCCAAAATCATGATGCTGATATTCCTAATAGCTCTGCCTCTTAAAAAATATATCTTATTTTTTTTTTCCTTTTTAAATAATATAAAGAAGATTTTTTTTTGTTTTTTTTTTATCATTATTATTATTTTACTTAATGATATATTTACTAGTGATTAAAATTTCCTTTTTTTTAAAAATCTGTTTATATATACATTAAACTACATTATATAAATAAAGTTTCTTATATTCATTAACAAGATTAAAATAATAACATCACTTAATACTATGATCTTACTTTTATTCAATGTTATTATTTTTCAAGTAATTACCTTATATTTGGTTTTTTTATTTATTTTAATCTGTTCTAATATTAATTCACGTACTATATATAATACTACTATTCTTAAATTATTTTTGTACTAATTTATATTAAACTTTACCTTATAACTTTAGACTTTAATTTTTTGTTAACTAAAGACTAACTATTCCTAAAACAAAATAAGTTGACACAAATTTAATAAATTATTTTTACCACCTAAAATTTACTTTTTTCACTTAACTCAATATTAACTATTTTTTTTTAATAGCCACAATGTTATTAAATATAAATAAGATATAAGTAAAAAATACTTATTATTACTCACGCTAGTCGAATTTGAAAATTTCAACATTAAACAATATAACTTGCAATATGTTATTCGACACTATTACATTGAGATATTCTACACTAAATAATTTACATCATAGTGCAGCAAAATATGATAGGCACACTAGTAAAAAATCCACTATACCAATTTTATTATAGAATCTGTAAATTTTTAAAACATTATAACTCACACTTTAATAAAGCAAATACAATTCTGTAACTTTCAAATGACAAATATATAACATGATTTTAAACTTGTATTAAAACATTTTCTAATTTATTTTATTAATTTAATTAAAATTCTAAATTATTAAATCTTAATAATAACATGCTCATAATTTATATAAGTTTAGACTATAAACAAATTAAAATCTATATATTTATATTAAATATGACAACATTTAATTAATCGTATTAAGTATGCGAACTAGAGGTTAGAACTAAATTATGAAATTTGACTTTAACTTCAGGTTAAACCAATTTAAATAGTAAATCATTTTGTAATGTTCTAATTCGGTTGTAACTCTCTGACAAACCAGTTTTCAAATTAGTATTCGATTTTATTTTCTATCATATTTCGAAATTACGTATTAATAAACAATATATCTAATATAACAAAAAAAAGTAATTTCAAGTTTTTCTTTTCAGCTAAATATTTATTCGATGATCTGAATTAAATTCAGTTTGAGCCAATCCGGTTTAGCATTAATCAGTTTTTTTATAATCGTATATAAACAATTCAGTTTCAAATTTTACAACCAATTCCAACCTCTAATATGAACTTTATATTTTGTAAAAAAGCAATCTTGAAATTCTGTTATTATTTAATAAGCAAGTAAAACATCATTATTTAATCTATATTTTATTCAATTTATCCTCCTAAAGGTACTAGAGAAGTTTCGCTTTCATTACTTCTTTTTATTATTCAGTTTGATACTTACTCTACGATTACTAACTCTTTCCTTTAACTCATTACTATCTTAATGTTATTGACTTTCAACATTATTCATAATTAGGAATAGCAAATGATTTAAAACACAATGTTTTAAATCAATATTATATTGCTTTAAAATAATTTATTTTTATGATTTAAGTAATCGTTATTGATAAACAGGTAAATTTTATTTTAGATCATGTGATATGATTTTAATAACATCATTTTACTATATTTGATATCATAATATTATTTAAATATCACGGCAATACTGAAATTAAAATTATCCAATCAGATGCAGTAATTTCGATTTCCACTATAATCAACAATATTTTAAAACATTTTATTAAATCAAATTAAAAAACATTAAAATCATTAAAAAGTGATTTTTTATCATCCCTATTCATAATCAATTGTTGATCTGATTCACAAATTTCCTACAACTGATGTGGCTTACTGATCTGTCTGTGATATAATAAAGATACATTAAGAAAATTTTTTAATAAATTTCCTCTTCAGATATGCTAATGTATTATATCGGCCTTAAACGTACATATGCCTTATTTAACTATTAACTATTACTTAGTCTTTGATTCACTAACACAATAACAATTTTTTTTTAGATCAGAATTACTGTCAAAGAAATAATATGCAAATATTTAAAATACCCAAAACACAAGCAAAATAATTAACAGATAAAGTAATAGTACAAAAATAAAAATATCTAATAAAATTAATCGGATTTATTTATCAAAACTTAAATAAAAATAACAAAATGCAATATATTACACTCAATAAAAAGAAGCTTATATACCATAGAAAATATATAAAGGACTTTCTGTAATTTGTAACAAATCTCCCAATAATAAATAAATTTTGAACAAGATATAATCTTTATACAATACAAACTTTTTTTCGATCAAAATAAATTTTTTCTTACTATAATATTCTGTAATTGCATCTCTTATCAACTAATGTGTCTTTATACATACCCTTAAACTATATTTCGTATCTAACTGATCTGACTATATATTCTATTGTCAAACCTATTACTATTTCACTATATTATTCTATATGCATCAAATTTTTGAAATTCACTCTTTAGAACATAATGAACAAGTTATTGATATTTCATCCTTCAATAATTCATTACAGCCTATATTACAAATCACAAATTCTTCAACTAATAATATACCTTCTGTACCTTCTACAAATTCACCATGGATAATCTCCCAAAAAATGCAACAAATTATCTACAAATTTGAAAACGAAATTTTATATCAATTTCCATGTGTCCTTTGCTCTATTTGCTCAAAATTAATATACCCAGAAAAATCTATCTGGATTCAACGAGATCCAAACACTACTTACTCACTTACTATTGCGTACCCAAACATTACATTAACAACCAATCCAGTTCTACTACCAAATCAAATTGCTATATATAACTCGTGCAAATCAAATCCAAACTGAAATTATCCTCAATACCTTTCTCTAATCCTAGCTGAAATTGAACTTGTACCATTAGAAAAACGCAGATATTTATTTTCTATCTTCCTACATTGTTCATTGGGTTGCATGCCTAGTGCAAATCCTTTCACTGAATACCGATCATTAGTAGGCACTATGAACTATTCTCAAAACTTTCACTCTCTGAGCTTATATTCTGGTCTACTAGATGCATTTTTAGAACCCTTGACTACTATATCAACAACTCCTTGGCTTGACAATTCTCTAATAAATGCAGTCAACTGGCTTAAAGAAAATAATCCCTACTTACATAGCTACTCTCAGATACTTTCCCTGAATTTATATACCTATTTACCTTTACCTATAGCTACTCATTTACCTGATGAGGAAAATATACCACAAATATGACAAGGCGATATAGTAGTTCCACACCAAAACTTTCCCTCTGAAATCCATAACGAAGACGCTCATTACCATCATCTAATAGCTGGATTCTTAACAAATGATGGATCTAACAGAATTTCCATTCCTTTGAATGACCCTAATCTTGAACCATTACTCTTTCCCAATTTATATCCAGATAGCCATGGTTATTATCGTGAACTATGTGATCAACTTAATAACATACACTGCTGACACAATACCTTTGGAAAATACATCAAACAACGCTTACTTTCAGTAGATTCCCATTTTCATCTACATCGATATTGGCTGGCCTGGGCATATCTTCAACTAGAAAAACTTAGAAATTTCCAAAATATACAAAGATTAATTCACCAATCTGATTCTAACAATTCAAATCGTTTACCTACTGCTATTGAAATTATTGAACAAAGCATCTATATTGATAATTGGTGCTACAATGAATCTACTACTTTTCCTATTTCATTATTTATTCGCACAGGTGATACTTATTTTCAACAAAAAACTTTACATTTAAATACAATGATTCGTGAACTAGGACTTCCATCTATATTTATTACTCTATCAATAGCTGAAGGCACGTGGCATTACCTCCATAATATTCTTATAAATACTGATAATAAAGACCCATTACCAACCAATAGACTACTACATACAACCTTACACTTTATAAACAGATTACAGAACCTTTAAAAATTTATTTGGAAAAATCCTGACATCAGCGAGTGGGGAACATATCACCATTTCTTCGATAGAATAGAATTTCAAAACCATGATGCTATTTATCTGCATGGTGTCTATTGGACTTCGTCTAGTATAACTGAAATGATCAATTCAAATACTATCAAATCAACACTTCCAAATCCAATCCTAGAACTCGAACTATATCAAAAAGTTACCACTTTACAAATATATATCTGTAACTCTAAATGTGGTAGTCCCGCTCCACCTAATTCCAGATGTAAAAAAGGATTTCCCTGTCCTTTTGCTGAACATACATACTACGATTCAAATAATTATAGATATACATATCAATATCTAACACCTGAGGACCAATGGGTAGTTCCATACCACGCATCTACCTTAATGATATGGAATGCCCACATGAATACCAATATGTTACTAGTAAAGGTCTTGCCTGATACATAACTAAGTATATAAGCAAATCTGAACTAACCTATCTATTCAACATACGTGAACAATTATGCTATCGAGAATATATTCACGCTTGACGAATAGGTTCAATAGAAATAATATTTTTATTACTTGGTGAATATATCACAAACTCTTCAATTCAAGTACAATTCTTAACAACGGACCCCCCAAATATTAGAACTAAAGCTATACTTCCTCTATATATAATTGATTCTGATGATGATAATCCTTATTGGTCTGACAAAATAGAAAAATACTTCACTCACCCAAACAATCCCGAATTTAACAACATAACATATAAAACATACTTCAAAACTTATGAAATCAAATCCATTAGACCTAATACATCTAGAAGAATAATATACAATGACCTCTTAGGAAATTTCATCATTA